CTCTCTCTCTCTCTCTCTCTCTCTCTCTCTCTCTCTCTCTCTCTCTCGTGCACACTCTCTGAAAGCATACCAAAGAGATGCAGCTGAAGTCAGAGAAAGGCTAGACCCTAATAAGGGTCTGAGTAGCTGACAACAAGAACAATAACTAGCTAGGACTTGGTCAGACACCGAGTAGGGGTTAGCACAGCATGATCACTCCCTGAGAGGTGGCTGGGCAGCCTCCATTAGGCTGAGCACCAGAGGATCAAAGGGATAGATGTATAACGCTAAACTAGTGTCATGCATGAGAACTCTGACTTTCACGCTGGCTCACAGCACGGGGTCCCAGGTCTAGACAATAACACAGAAGCTGGTTCTAAGACAGTATAATGTATATGGCCCTCAGCAGAGTCAGAAATAAGAGCTATCTTTGGAGATGGTCTTATTACTGGGTCCCAGTTCAGAAAGAAAAGTATAATTCATAAAGGAGACATAAATGCCTTTCTTCTTTAGTCATTTAAACTCTCTCTGAAATTGCAGAAACTTCAGGCAATATTAAAAGGCAAATGACAAAGACAAAAAAAAAAAAAAAACCAAAGTCCGTGTAGCCCCAGTAGTTGCTTACAACACAGCATCCTGTAATTGTAAGCACCAGCTATAGATTAACAAATAACAAATAGGAAAGTAGATTTTTAAAAAGTACAGATAAGCAATCTATAAAAGAGGAAGATGTTCAGTAATCATAAGCTATTCAGTCTCAGAAATAACAATGGAAATCAAAAGTAAAACACCAATGGTGTGCTTTTCACATTTGTCAGATTGGCAGAATGAAAAAGAAATTATAATAATCATATAAAGTTTAAAAGTCATATAAAATTGAAAATACATTGATCCTAAACATAATTATTTTACTCCTAAAGACCACCTAGAGAGAGAACGCTCTGGTTAAGCCAAAGGGTATCTGCTTGGTGGCCACAGCTGTACATGGGGCAAAACAAGAAGCCTTTGTAGCCTGGTATGAAAGCCAGTAAGGAAAATGCAGAAATCAGCAGGTGTGTCTACTATGGAACACTAAAAACTCTAATTAAAAAGACAAACCAGCTCTACTCTATACTGTTAGCATAGGAACAATTTTAAAAAGAAGATGGGATGGGAGAAGGAGTGGTGCAGGGTGCTATAGTATGATAGTGCTCATGGAGAAAGAGGATTAAATGATGGCCTACACATTCAAAGGTTTTAACAGCTGCATACTGTCCTGGGATGACAGAAACCACACCTCTAGGGAGAAGAAGAAGGTATTGATGGAGGCCTCTGAAAATGACTTCAACTTTGCAATACACTGTTAGGTGATGGGTACTAATATATTAATCTCTGTCTTTTAAAAAATATTTCCTAAATAAAAAAATTATTATAAGAAGAAAGTAAGTGAAAATAAGCCAGATACTACACTGGTACTATATAATTTCTAAGAATTGAAATCAAATGTCAGAATGTGCAGAAGCACAGTAGGGTCTGCAACTCTACATGCATGAGATACTTGGCTGTCTCCCCTTTCCTATGTGTCCCTTGTCATCACATGCAAGATGGTGAAGTGAGATCCTGCTGGCAGCTTAATGGAATTCAACTGGAGCCCAGATGCACTAGGCATGTGGCTGCCTTGACAACATTTCAGCATCTGCTACTTTAATGCTCCTAGGTATAGGTTAGGGCTTACATTCTAAAATGTAGAAAGGACATGGCAACCAACATCAGTGAAGTTCTCCTTGATCTCCACGATGCCTTCTTGCTTTACTAGTCCTGCCATCACCTTGGACACCACAGCTGTCAATCATTTCACCCTTTGCTCTCTCTGTGTTTGCTCGCTTGCTTTATTATTTCTGAAGCCAAATGTCGCCCCTTTCTGAAAACTCGGAAAGTAGCTTCTTACCTTTTAAAAACCCTTTCTTTGCCTTCTAGAAATTTTCTGTATCAGCTGCAAAGAAGACAGTGAGCAGCAATGCCTGCTCTGAATGTAGTGGTAGTCACTGTCTTCTTAGATATACAATGCATTCTGGGGTCATACTTACTTGAAGGGAAGAAATGCTATGAGAGCCCTCTACATAGAAGGCATATCTACAGATGCACACTTAAAATACTGAGTATTCATGATAGCTAACAATCAGTGAGTTGCCCCACAAAAACACACAGTTCACTTCCATTATCTGAAACATGATCAATATTTACTAATTATTGAAGTTCGTGAAGTTATTCCTTTTAGAAATCGCCTTTCTTAATGTGGGCCTGATGAAACCAATCAATTTACTTCTTTAGAGGAAGAAATGGAATTCAATTTTTAATTAAAAATATAAGAGCTGCGAAAAACAACCCCTTGCCAGTTAACTTTGTCAAATGGCCGTAGAATCCCCAGTGTGTTTGCTTTGCACACATGCTGCCTCTCACTCATTAGCTTGCTGGAGTAAAGGCATGGCACAAGTCAAGATCAACGGCAAGTAAGGAATCAGAAATGCAGCAAAACGGGCTCATAGTTTTAAAGTCCACAGTTCCTTTTCCCCCAGCATTCAACTCTGAAGGAAAAACTTCTTAAAACAGGGGTGCCACAAACTCTATTGATCACAGAACCCCAAAATATGAACCACAGTCACAGTGCAAACACTAGTCTACAAATGGCCGTGAGTTAATCAGTCATTCTCAGCAATATAGGCAGCTTTTTAAAAAATCATTTTTTACATCATGCAGATCAAGTCAATCTAAGTGAACTGTCTAGGCCCTGGTATGCAAGACTGGAGAGGCTATGCGCAGATCAATTTTCTTTCTCTGTACTGATCATGAGGTAACTTTCATGAATGATTTCCAGAGTCAGCAGCTCTGAGAAATGTTGCTTGATAACCCTGATAACATTTTTAACTAAAATACCTAAAATTTTGAAATTTTTATTGTAGGAACAGGCAAAATGTTTAGATGCCATTATAAAATAATCAAAACAAGCCCCAAGCATTTACATCTTCTATAGATCGGCAGCAGAACTTCAGGAGTATGGATAAGATTTTGGTGAGTATTATTTTGAAAATTAAGAAACAGGTATTTGCCCAAAAGAGGAATGATAAATTTGTATAACTGAAAATATCTAATAAATTATAAGTGAAGAATGAAGTCTTCAAGGGCCTTTTGCCATTCCATGGATTGTATAGTGTCCCCAGTACAATGTATTATGCCAACAAGGACATTTCTATCTATCATTCGCCACACTACGATAAACCAAAATGTTCTCCCACTACAATGAAAGCTTTATCATGTCCGTTCTTAGTGCAAGACTTAAAAATAACCATAAATTTTGCCTTTTTTCCCCAATATGGAATGGACTTAGTCACAGACACCTGTGTTCATGCAAGCTAACAACATGGGTTCTCTCTTCAGCAATCACATCTGTGACACTCATAAAGGATAAAGCAGAACTTTGCTCAGTTCTCACAAGTGTTCCAGGAATGGCCAGGGAGAATCTATGGCAAACTCCACTGTGAATCAAACCTTAATAGACCAATTAAGGACCCATTCATACATCCAAAAAAGCAGGGGACTGCATACCTTAATCTCTGTCTCCTCCCTTCGCAGCAATTCCTTCTTTTTCCACAATTTCTCTTTCTCCTCTTCCCTTTCTCTTCTTCTGGCTGAAATTTCCATTTCCAGTCTTGATAGCTCTTCTTGTTGGGCTCGCCATTGAGAGACCTGGAACACATAGAAACCTTTCATTTCCATAACTATGTAGTCACATGATCCCATATGGGACAAGGTTTTGTGTCAAAGAGGACTCAAGTCTTTCCAAACTTACATGCATAGTTTATGTGTATGTGAGGATATGATATGTGTGCATGCTAGTATAGAAAACAGCGACTTTAACACATCCACATACTCTTTAGCTGAACTCAGGGAGCCATAAAAGTGTATGATTTTACTTCAGAGAATCTGTGACTTCCAAAAAATTCTGGGCCGGGTTATAGCTCAATGAATGACACATTTGCCTTATACATGAAATGCATTGCCAATGGACATGTTAATGTGGAATGGTGAAAGTTTCATGGGGTCCCACCCCTAGACAAAATCTGAAGGCAACCAATAACTACTGGGAGAAAGAGAACTAATGTCTCCTAAGAATGAATCCCTATTGGTTGTCCAGTGAAGAATGGCCAGTGGCCAGTACTGAAACCATATGGACACAAACAACAAACATGGACTCAGCACATCATGTATATTTGTATAAAATTAGGAGCATGAGAAGATGGGTCAGTTAGTCAAGTGTCTGCCATATAATCATGAGGAACTGAGTTTGATCCCCAGCACCTATGTAAAAAATCCAAGTGTAGCGCTGTGGTTCCAGCACTAGGAGCAGTGGAGATAGGCCAGTTCTTGAACTTGAAGGATAGCCAGTACAGCCAAACTAGCACATTCTTAGTTATCAGTGAGAAGTCCTGTCTTAAGAATTATGGTAGATGGGGCTAATGATTCAGTGGGTAAGGGTATGTGATGCCAAGCCTGATGATCTGAGTTCAATTCCCACAAGGGTCAGATTCCTGTAAGTTTTCCTCTGACCTCTATATAAATGCTATGGCATAAGTGTAACCACTTATGTACACACAAAAAAAATAAAAATGGCATTTTAAAAGTAAGATAGAGAACAATCAAGAAAGATACCCAATATTGATCTCTGGCCTGTACACACATATGGGCACCCACATACACACATGGACACACGCCACATCATATCACATCACATATCCAACTACCACTCAAATTCTGAAATGGATCTAAGACCTTAAAAGGTTTAAGAACTACTGAAAGATTTTGCTTTCTTTACATTATAAGCATAGAAAATAAGAATAAATTAAGATGCCAACATAGAAACTTCCTGAGATATGTGCTACTGTTAGACAAATACTTTTTGTAGATTTAATCAATGCATAAATACATTTCACAATATAAAATATACATAGCCTTTCATTCTTATACCTGCCTCCAGGAAATTATCCAAGGATCATTGTACTGGTTAGTTTTTTTGTCAACTTGACACAAGCTGGAGTTAACTGTCAAGAGGAAATCATAAACTGAGACAGTGGGAATTTCTGGTTTTGTTGGAAACTCAGTTGTGTCATGTGATATTTTTCTGAATGTTGTCTTATGAGAGGATATTTTGCTGAAGCAGACATGTGAGAGGATGTATTTCTGAGAACAGATACATGGTGTTTTTCTGGAAGCTATCTGGTAAAAGGGCATGTGATGTTTTGCTGGAGCAGACACTTGAAGGGGCACAGGATGTTTGGAAAGATTATAACCCAATAGACAGTGAAAGAGGCTATCATTGGCTCGCCTTGTTTTCTTCTATGATCTTTGCTTGTCTTGACTTTGTAGAGAGAAGCACACCGAAGAACTTCTGGTGGAATTCCAGCTGCTTCTTGCTGCTTCAGTGGACTTGTGCCAATCAGTGGAGCTTTGCAGTTTCTTCCGGACCAAGCCACTAGTGATTCATGTTTGGTGTTTTGCTAGTGGACTGGACCGCAGACAACAAAGATTGGAATTGCCCCCCCAAAAAAACCTACTTCTAAACAGGTCCACATCCCCCTTGTCCTATCAGCCATCTTTCTCCCCTACCTTTGGTTGATGGGCTATAAAGTAGGTTGAAGCATTTAAGAACCCTTATTAAAGCAGGTTTTGAAAAATAAAGGCCTACAAGACAAAGCCTCCATCAAATTTCCTGAGGGTAAGTCTGTGGGGCATTGATGTAGGAGGGCCCGACCCACTATCAGCAGTGGAGCCCTGAGCAGGTGGTCCTGGGTTCTGTAAGAAAGCAGGCTAAACAAAGCCATAGAGGGCAAGCTAGTAAGCAGTGTTCCTCCATGGCCTCTGCTTCAAATCCTGCATGCACATTCATGCTTGAGTTTCTGACTTGATTTTCTTTCATGATGGACTGTAAGCTGAAGTAAACACTCTCCTTCCTGTGCTGCCTTTGGTCATGGTGCTTTGACACAGCAATAAAAACCACACAAACAATACAACCGTCAACTAGACAAGCACACAAAATATATACCATGGCAATTCTCTCTGCAGCACAGTTTAAAACAGAAAGTTTAGGGGAAGTCTAAATACCCAGTAATAGAAAGTAGTTTAATTCAAATTTTGTACATTCATACAGTATCTGTGATTGATAAAAGATGCTACATTTCTACATTTGTTGATAAGAAAGCATCTATAATATTTAGATGCAAGAAAACAATGTAAACTACATTTGTATGATCTAATTAGCATAAAGTATCCTTGTATCTGTACAAAGAGAGGCTTTTGGAAGGAGGTTTACTGACATGATAATAGAGCCTCTGGAAATTATTTTACAAGATTCTAAAACTTATTTTAGTATTTCTAGGCTCAATAAAGTTATTCTAACCTTTCAAGACTGGGTACATTTTTCTTTTCACACATCTTTTTATGAAGAAAAAAACAAATGAGACTAATGAAAAATAAAGTCAAACTTTTTTTCTGATCCTATCTGGCTGACAAATCAGTAAAGAAAAAATACTCAAGCATGCAAAACTCCTCTTACAAAAGGCAATACATAATTTTGCAAGTATTTGACTCAAGCATCATTCATTAATAGCATACAAAATTACAATTGAGACATCATATCTTCCAAATATGACTAAAGTGACTCTTAATAGCTTACCTTTTAAATATTTTATATTAACTTCAAATTTTTAGTTTTCAAAAACATTATTTTGCCAAAACAAACAAGAGATGCCAACAGTCTCCCTTCTAGAACACTCAAAGGGACAATACCCTTCTCTCTGCCACCTGTTAACCAACCTGGCAAAGAAAACTCTTTCCCTTGCATGCTGCGCCATAGCTCTGTCATATACCTGCAGTAGTGCATGCTTCTCTCCCCCTGCCCTCTAGTCATTACCCTGCGCCCTATTTCACCTCCAGTATGACTCCCTATTTCATTATTTAAGCCTCTTCTATGAAGTCTTCTCTGGAGGGTTGACTGCAAAATCTACATTAACAGCTTTCTGCCTGCAATCCAACTCCACACAAATTCTTAAAAGACTTTGCTATTTTGCTAGTGTGGCTATGGCCCAGACTTCCAAAGTTAAACTCGGGGCCTGTGACCTTGCCACAGCTTCATGCCAAGCCTAGGGTACTTGTGTCTCCTCAAATATAACTACTTCTGTCAGTGGAATCACAAGTATCCCTGGAGTATGACGAGTGTCCCATCAATATAATTGTTTGTTTGCATATCACAATAATCTTTGATGCTATAAACAACCTGCTAATTTCATATATGCATATGTGTGTGTATGTAGATATGTAGATATATATGTAGATATAGATGATTTTATATATGTATATAGTTTGGTTTCATACATATATGTATACATACACACACACACATACACACACACAGATATGTATTTAAGGTTAGATGAGCTTTTTGAGACATCAATTTCACAACCATTGAGATTGGCTGTAATTCTTTAGTTCACTCAAAATCTTTCAGCCAAATGTGTTGAACAAGACTAGAAGGTTCGCAAGGGTGATGTCAATTGACTAAGTTGACTTTCTTACTCCTAACCCCACATTGTTAGTAGACAATTCTAGGCAAGCTTGTTTCTTGGCCTGAAATGACTGTTCTTATTCTTGCCCTTTTTAATTGTATGTTGACACTGACTCACCCTCTCTGTTTAATTATTTAATTTCATCTGCATGAGTGTTTTGCCTATGTGTCTGTGAACCATGTACAAGCTTGATACCTACAGGGGCCAGAAGGGGGCATTGGATCTCCTGAAACTGGAGCCACAGATATTTGTAAGAAGTCATGTATGTCCTAGGAATTGAATGTAGATTCTATAGAAGGGCAGTCCTTTCTCTTAACCAGTGAGTCATCTCTTAAGATTCCAACACATTCTTAATGTTAAGGAGTGATACAAACACTCCCGCCTTGCCATGTGCTTGATTTCCCTCTATTTCATAAGATGATTATCAGCTGGCTGGGGCTCAAATCATGGCTTATGGGTTTCATAAAATATCTCCATCACATGCACCTCCCCTTTCTCTCACGTACCATACTATAACTGCTCACTAATTATGCTAAATATATTGTTTCCAATTAGAACAGAGTTTATACATTGGCCTCCTCCTTACACTGTCAAGCAGAGTATTGGTACATCATAAATACTTACTAATGACCTTGTATGTAATTATCAAGCTAAACAGTGTCCCCAACAAGTTGCCAGAGTCGTCATTTTCTAGCATTTGCCAGTATAAAAGAATCCCTCTTCTGTTCTCCAGAAAAGACATCTCACATTGATTTGTTGAAGAATGCACATAGATTTTACCACAGGATTGTAAAACTGCAGGCAAGTTCAATAGTCACAAACCAATAGGTTGCAGATGTCAGCAAGAGAAAAAAGAAGCATTGGGGCCAGGGAACCTGGAGTAAGACATGAGCCTTCAGAAACCAAGCTGCTTCCGCTTGCTGTTGGAATGACTGCAACAGTCAGAGGCCGCAGATGTTTACCTGAAGTCAATAACTCATGACATTGTTTGTGATTATAATTGTGTCCAAAGACATGATTATAGAAGCCAGACTTGAGCAATCTTGACAAGGATTGGTAGGCTCTCTAACTGTGGGTACAGCCGAATGGGGCTTTTCAAATCACATAATGGATAAGGTGACAAACAGT